TTTGTAAAAACATCTTTTTTCTTGTATTTGCATTAGAGGTGATTTTTCTGACCTAAAAACCCATTCCTTCATTTCTCATCATCTCTTAGCAATATTTTCCAAAAAGAAGGTGGATTCCCATCCAATCTCGATTATTCGAATCGGATGTTGATCAACCTTCTCTCAAAACTTGTTTCTCAAGCTATCATAGAAATGAGTGGCTAAATCCCTCTCTTGTCAATGTTAGGAGTAGTTGGTTCAGATTTTATGTATTCTTCTTAATATCTTGTATGTGAACAAGTTTATAATCAATATTGATGAAGTTATTTGCCACTATTTGTACATTTATGGTTTGGTTTGCTTTAGAGATAAACTTTCCAAGTCTTGACCTAATATCTTCATCTATCAACTATGCAAATGCTAGAGATAGATTTAAAAGTTGATATCTGCTTTGTATTGATCTTTATGATTATTGTTTCCATTGTTATTTAGAGAGATCATTTAACAGTCGAAACAATAATATTCACGAAATCGCTTTAGAGATGAATGTTTTTGCGAGGATACGCGGTTATGTTGGTTAGAACTTCGTTCACATATTTCATTGGTTGGATACGTTTAGGACGGACTAGAGAACCCGAATCTTGACATGCTTTTATCAAACTTAAGACCGACTTTTATTCCATTTTATTTCTTGCAAACTTGTGTTACGAAAATTGAAACCATTCTAAAAACCCCCCCTTTTCTTAAGTCATTAAACCGTTGAACGACAAGCATCTATATTCTCTTCAATCCCTGTGGATACGATAAAACACTACCGCAAAATACTTTCTAACATTCTTCCCAAACATGTTGTATCTCCGGACTCCAAAAGTGTTGTTGTGAAGGCGGTAGTTGTTGACAACCAATTTAAAAATGAGCAAGAATTTGAATTTCGTGACCACGTGCTTCAATGGATTCATACGGAGGCCTCCAAACTGGGATTTAGTGTGGCAATCGGAAGGTCCGATAATGATTCGGATACAAGATGTGCATTTGTGACAATGACATACGAAAAAAGTGGGAAATGTAGACCTCCTCTTTAGAATTTTAAACGAGATGACACAGGTTCAAAAAAATTTTAGTGTCTTTTTAAGTTGTGTGGTTACATGTTGACCAATAAGAAATGAAAATTTAGTGTCATATGTGGTTTACATAACCATGACTTGTGTGAAAAGTTAGTCAGTCATCCAATTGCGTGTCGTCACATGTCAAAAGAGAAGAAATGCATTTCAGACATGACATTGAATTTGGTTCAACCGAAAAATTTACTTGCAACTTTGAAACGTAAAAGATCTGAAAATATCTCAAGTATCAAGCAAGTGTACAATATTTGGTACCAAATTTACAAGGCACTGAGAGGGGATAGTACTGAAATGCAACAACTCTTGAACCTTTTGGATTATAGCAATTATGTTTCCAAGTACCGAACGCGCGAGACTGGAGTAACCGTTAGAGATATATTTTGAACTCATCCCGATTTCATCAAGTTGTTTAACATATGTCCTATTGTGCTCATTATTAGTTCAACATACAAGACCAATAAGTATAGACTTTCATTATTGGAGATAGTTGATGTTACCTCTACTAAGAAGACCTATTATATCAAGTTTGCATTTCTAGAGAGCGAAAAAGAGGAGAATGTTAGTTGGGCCTTAGAGGTGTGTTGGGCAATGTTGAAGGACCAAAAAGAGATGCTTGGAGTGATTGTTATCGACTGTGACACCACTTTGATGAATTTGGTTGCAAAGGTATTTCCTACTTCTTATGGATTACTTTGTAGGTATCACATAACAAATAATGTGAGAAGTCAAGTTAAACTCGCGGTAGGGACGAAACAGATAAAGCCCAAAGATTGAAAAATGGTGAAGGCGGGTGTGATAATGGAAAAAATAATGGATGCATGGAATCTTATAGTAAATTCTTATATTAAAGATTTATATGTCGATTCCATTATAAATTTCAGGAAGGTGTACGAGAAATATATAGATTTGTTGAAATATGCTGAAAGCACAATTCTTGAACAGGTGAAGGAGAAAATTGTTTGTGCATTGACCTTTCAGGTTAGACACCTTGGGAATACAACAACAAACCGAGTTAAGTCTGTCTATGCTACATTGAAGAATTAGTTGGGAAATAGTAAGAGCGATTTGTGTAGAGATTGGAACTCCGTGAACCAAATGATCCAGAACCAACATAATGAGATACATACATTATTTGGTCGGAGCATCATAGTTTTGGAACACAAATTTAAAGACAACAATCTTTATTATCAGTTGGTCGGAAACATATCTCGAGCAGGTTTGAATTATATTTTTTCTGAAGCTAAACGAGCTGATAATGTAGGCTCCGATAACACTAAGTGTGGATGCACAATTGTGAAGACCTATGATCTTCCATGTGTTTGTCTTATTGCAAAAAAGGTTAAACTTGGTAGTGCATTAAGGATGGATGAAGCCTGTAGTCACTGGAAAAGGCTTAGGTTTGATGATGATGGTGTAATGAAAGACGGTAAATTGAATATTTCTATCTTGATCGTATGGGAAGTGATACAAGAGATATTTTTGAAAGCCGATGACAATATGAAACTCCACATCAAAGAACAATTGAGAAAGATTGTTTATCTAAAAACCAATTATTTGAAACCACCCTCTTAACTGGTAAAAACAAAAGGTGCTTCGAAGAACTCAAGTCTACATCGAGTGACAATTCAAAGGTGCGGTCTCCTTCATATTTTGAACTTATTGACAAATTTTTTTCAGACTGACCAACTCCAAAAATTCAAAAAAGTGTTTTTCAAGAAGCTCGCATTAGCAAACCATCTCCTTCACCACCTCCACAAAATTTTTTATTTATTGACGATATGCCGGTTTTTATGCACAAATACATCGAGCGGATCGTAAATATTAAGGGAGACAGTAATTGCGACTATCGAGCTATTTTGACTTTACTCGGTAAATGAGAAGATAATCACACACTTATCCACAATCAACTTATCCACGAGTTGAGGATCCATAAAGAATCATACACACAACTTTACGGAAAGAAAGAAAACTTTGATATAATTTGAGTCTCTTGTTCCTTGCATTAGTGGACCAGCATCAGAGGCAAAATGGATACGCTTCCTTGAAACATGTCATCTCATATCAAACATGTATGATAAAGTGTGTATTGATCTTACAAGATATAGTTTTTCAGAAACCTTTTTCCCAATACGCACCTCCCCACCTCAAAATCTAAATGATAATATTATGTGTATTGGGTGGCTTTCAAAATCACAACACTTTATTCAAGTTTTTTGAAACTAGGATGCCATATACCACTTACATCAGTGGAGTGGACAACTCATTCAACAACAAAAGCCGAGAATTGACCGTTCCAATTTATGGAAAGGATGCAAGAGTTCGAAAAATTGAGCAACATTGAAAGAGAATCAAATGCACAAAAGTTAAAAGGGATATTACCCATACTTATAGATTTAGCCGGTGACAAATTGTTCGATTCATTTTAATTTTTCGTTATCAATTAAGTGTAGGTAATTGTGCATTAATATAAATGAAGTGTAATATATACAGTTTCAAATATTTTAATTCATTTTGATGTTTTTCAAAAAAAGTTGTCCATTCGCCAAACAAAACACACAGGTTCTTATTGATATGTGGAATACAACTATAAGCTCAAGACGGATGCAAATGTAAGGGCCATGTGAAATATATTTTTTCGTTTTGAAACAAAAGTTCCGCTCGAGTTGAAAGCGACGTTTAAAGATCGGCCGAAGATATTATAAAAATGTTAAAGCGCCCACCTGGATATTTAAAATGTTGAAGCTCAAGACAAATGCATATGTAAGGGCTATGTTGAAGATGTAATGTTGATTTTATATTATGAATGACAATTTTTATTTTGTCAAAATACAACTTTCTGATTTTCTGCTTTTGTAACTGTTGCACATATGTTACGGAGATACATCAACGGACAGATTTCAAAGATGCATCTTTGGATAAAAAAACCCAACTTATAGAAAGTCGCTCAGAATTGACATATGTTGTATGTGGTTGAATTAGTGCAGAGATACTTCTCTAAAATTTAGAAACATTTTAAAATTTTCACGTAATACATTAATAGTATATGGTACATTAAAAAATTTCATAAAATATGCTCCCACAAGTTTAATTTATAAAAGACAATTTACTTTTTATTTTATTTTTATTTTTAATATAATATATTTAAAAATCTCTCAATATAACATGATTATTTGAAATCATACTTACGTCACCGATATTATTTGTGTATATCTCACCTTTGAGTATACATTATATCAGAGTGGCCAATGGCTCTAATGCGCATTTTGTTGGATTTGGAATATTAACCTGCAACCCTCAATTACATTGCAAAACATGTTTTATGTTCCAACTCTTTCTCATGGTTTTGTTTTCAATCGTAAACTTACTCGTAATCAGGATTGTGAAGTACTATTTTTTATTTTTTGTGTTTTTTCAGGATTTTATCACGAGGACATAGTTATGAGTTGCTATAACATACATGCTATACTACTTGTCTCATGACTAGGATAGTGCAAATGAGTTGTCTTCTTATTTCCAGTTTGAGCCTTCATTCCTCACATTTTCTCTTTTATTTATGAGATAAAATATTTTAAAAGTAATTAATATAAACTAATATATTTTAAAATTTATTCTCAAAATAGATTTTTTTTTAATCAAATTTGTTTTGAGCAAATGATTCTTATTCCTTATCCACTTTTAAAACTTGAGGAGGATGTTGTACATGCGTCATTGCCCGCGTAAGCTTTTTCATTTCACGTCTCTTCTTTACTTCTTCCTCCCTAGTAACAGTCAAAACTCAATTTCACTGCTCCTTCTTCTTCCTTCATTCATTCTTCCAAGCTGTAATAACCATTTCCAATTTCCAATCACATAAACAAGTTAGTTACTTAGTTTGTTAATTTGTTACTATTTTGTTATTCTATGAACACAATTCGATCCCGTTTCTCTGCAAAAATGGCGGCAGAAAACACCGGAAAAAACAACCTCGAATCAGGCGGTTTCTGGCCTTTTCTCCGCCGTTGGGTCCCTACTTCTACCGAGCACATCATCAATGCCGAGAAGCGCCTTCTTTCTCTTGTCAAGTATAACTAACTAACTAATTAACCAATTATGTTATGTTGCTACTATTCAATTCATTCATGATTCATCGCAAACCCTAATTCCCCAAATTGATTATGAAATTTGATTATTAACTATTAATTTTTATTTATTTGTGCTTGTTATTGTGTTTTTTTTGTAGGACTCCGTATGTTCAAGAACAGGTTAATATTGGTTCTGGTCCACCTGATTCTAGAGTGAGGTGGTTTCGTTCATCTAGCAATGAACCGAGGTTTATCAACACTGTTACCTTTGATAGTAAAGAGGATTCTCCTACCCTTGTAATGGTTCATGGATATGCTGCATCACAGGGCTTCTTCTTTCGCAATTTTGATGCACTTGCTTCGCGTTTTAGAGTCGTTGCTATTGATCAACTTGGGTGAGTGAGCTTTGCTTTTTGCAAATTTGGTTTGATTCTTAAATCAGAAGCTAGCTAATTTTATGAAATAGTTAAATTGGCAATATGTATAAATAACAATATGGATTTTTTATACTTATATCCTAAAAATATCTGGTTATGCCCCAAATAAGTTAGGTGAACTTAATTCAAGTAAGAGTTCATGCATAAAAGTTGATTTTTTGGGTGTGGGTGAGCATTTTAGGAGCGCAACTAAAAAAAATCAACAATTTGAGTTTAACGATTATGTCTTGTGGAGAGAGTCAGGGACTAACTTGGTGGTTTACTCGATATATATCTTATTATAATCCTCGTTGTTAGGGTCTAATGACTATGCGCTGAAAGTGTCATCCTCTTATTAGAAAATGAAATAACAAAATGACATCACGGATCACAGTGAGATATGATCAAATAACTATGTAAAATATTTTTACACTGTCAAGACATAGTCATTAAGTGTAAACCGCCAAGTTAGTACGTGACTATGCAGGACACTCTCAATAGGTCCCTGCCAAATTATATATTTCAAAACGGTTCTTGACTCTATCAATTCGTCAAGTTGGTCCATGTATTTAAGCACTTACTTACTATCAGTTAAGTCCTTATGATATTATCACTCAGTATCAATTCGGTCCCTGTATTTTGTCACTTACTATCAATTTAGTCCATAACATTAGTATTGAAGGGTTAATTTGAATATGAACTGACAGAGTCAGGGACCATTTTAAAGTATTTATACAGTCAGGGACCATTTTCATATGATATGTAAGATATATATTTATGTGTGTGTGTGTGAGAGAGAGAGAGAGAGATTAATTATGATGAAGTTGTTCAAATTTCAAGGGTTGATTTTCTAATTATAGTTGCTTATCTTTGTTAAATGATATTTTGGGCTTATTTGGCATAGGTGGTGGTGTATAAGTCTAATTGTAGGCAGTGTTTTGTTTTCATTCTTTTTTGCAGTTGGGGTGGATCTAGCAGACCAGACTTTACTTGCAAAAGTACTGAAGGTGAATGCTAAAGTTAGTTAATATGAAATTGCAAAAGTTTTATCTTGTTGCAATGCTAAATATTAAAATTTCTTGATACTACTGTGCAGAAACTGAGGCATGGTTCATTGATTCTTTTGAGGAATGGAGGAAAGCCAAAAACCTAAGCAATTTTATACTTCTTGGGCATTCTTTTGGCGGTTATATAGCTTCCAAATATGCACTTAAGGTAGAATGTCCTACACTGCGCCTTAAAATGGCTTGTTTATTTTTCTCCTTTTATTATTATTATTATTATTATTATTATTATTATTGTTGTTGTTGTTGTTGTTGTTCTGATATATCTCGTAATATTTATGTGTAGCACCCAGAGCACGTACAGCACTTGGTTTTGGTGGGATCTGCTGGATTTTCATCAGAAACAGAGAGGATTACAAAGTTTTTATCAACATGGAAAGGATCAATCCTGAACCAAATATGGGAATCCAATTTAACACCTCAAACAATTATCAGGTAACACTAATGTATCCTCTTTTAATGTATAATGTAGTGTTTTTCTTTTTGTAACAGTTTAGGTTGCCTAGAATTGCAGTGTTTGTATTTTATAAACCCGCAGCTATGATGGAGTCATCAGGAAAAAAATCAGTTATTGTTGCAGTTATTGTGCTCACATGCTTGTGGAGAGTATAGTGATCTTCAAATGTTCGGTTGTGGTGGCAACTGGGTGCATACACACCCAATCATCGAAATTAGTTGTCATTTAAATGAGAGTGTGTATCTGATGATCATATGCATGATACATTTATACAGATTTTTAGATTATTACTTCTGATTCACTGCTTTAATATCTATTCTAAAGGTGTTGTCACGGAAATTGACAATTATGGATATAAAATCACAGGTTATAACTTTGTTCTTTGATCTATTTACTGGCGTCTGGATCCGCTTGCGGGGGTTGCAAACTGTTACATTAGTATTATTCCTATTAAGTATGTTGAGTGGCAGGTTGTAGCGAAGAGGGGTTTTGGGGCTGATCTGATTCCTGATTGCTTGAAGGAAGCATTTTTTGGATGCATCTAACATTCTTTATTTTCTGTCAAGAAATATGGGATCCTGATTTACTGTCATTCTTATAGTATTAGCATTTTTATGCACTAAACTTGTGCTTATATAAAAATGTCTCATTTTAATATTTTTCCACATATTTTTGTGGCAGAGGTTTAGGTCCTTGGGGTCCTGATTTAGTCCACAGGTATACAAGTGCTAGGTTTATCAAATACTCAACTGGGGAACTTTTGACAGAATCTGAATCGAGATTACTAACAGGTATGGTGAGATAACTCATTGATGTGCTTTAATTGTAACTTGTACGAGCATATTTCTAACTGGTGTTTTTCTTTTATTGAAGACTATGTTTATCATACGTTAGCTGCCAAAGCTAGTGGTGAGTTGTGCTTAAAATATATTTTTTCATTTGGAGCATTTGCCAAGTCGCCTCTTCTACACAGGTTTGTTGATCATCCTCCTACTATAGATTACAGTTCTACTTTAAAATGTGCTATTTTCACCTGAATGGTTTTTTTTTGTAAATGGACCAGTATGTATGTAATAGACTACATCTTGAATTTGCATTTCATGGCTACTGAATGAGATGAAAATTGAAGCTTGTGAAGCCAAGTCGTAGTACTTGTGGCTTGATTCAGAATTTTATTTGTGCATGACTCATATCTAGTTGTTTAAGGGTGAAATCCATGTATTGGAACAAAAGTTATTCTTGCAAATGTTGAACTAGAATTCTATGAATATAAAAGGAATTCCTAGTAGGAAACAATTGGAAAGATACCTAGAGGCAAATCGAAGCCTTTAAAGTTTGCAAGCTCTGTAAAATATCCGTAATTCTTAAATGGTTTGCTAAGAAATTTTCCACTGCCATGTCATTTGCCAATGAGCTTTAATGAAGCTCATGTCAAGAATTATTTTTCTCTATTGGTTCAAACATCCATTCTTCTTTTATTCGATGTACTACTATGTTATGTGGACTCTGGATTCTGCATGTAGAATGTTATTAACCTCTATTTCTCTCTCTGGTTTGCAGTGCCTCAGAGTGGAAAGTGCCTACCACTTTCATCTATGGTTTTAACGACTGGATGAATTACGAAGGGGCCCAAGAAGCTCGCAAGCATATGAAGGTTCCATGTGAAATCATCCGGGTTCCACAGGTATCACTTTCTCCGTTTCCCCCAAAGGTGAAGCCATGCTAAGAGGCTTTGAAGTGAACTAACAATCTAAATTCCATGTTGCAGGCCGGACATTTTGTGTTCATTGAAAACCCATCTGCCTTCCATTCAGCTGTGTTTTATGCTTGTAGAAGGTTTCTCAGTCCTGATCCCAACAGTGAATCCCTTCCTGAAGAGCTAACATCTGCATAGAGTATAAATTTCGGCACTGCTGTCTGTAAATCCTTTTTATCTCATTTTTTATAAATAAATTCCATAATTTAATCAAGCCTTGTCCTAGTCTTGCTTAATGAAATTACAATTGTAAGAGCAATTCAAAGAAAAGAAACCTGTAATATAAATTTGATCAATGATACATGTCTTAGTTAAAATTGTTACCAATTACGCTTTTATTCGCTATTTATGAAAATTTTAGAATCAAGGACAATGTATAACATGCACCATTTATAATGTAAAGTTAAATAATCTAGCCCACATTGCTAAGAGTGAGACGGAGTGTGAAAATTTTGGTTATATAAAGAACTAATATGTGAACAGAATGTAAGGCAACGAAGCTGTATGTTCGTGGTATGCTTGATTGCATGACGTATCAGCAGCTTCTTTCTATGAGGTTAAGCTGCTGATTTATTATGTTCAGAACAATCAACAATTTTAGTGTTATTCAGTTTAAAACTTATTCAAGTAAAATTATAGTAGTTAATTTTTTATTTGAAAATGATTTGAAAAAGTTAAAAAATTATATTAGTTAATTTTTTGATTTGAAAAAGTTGAAATTATACATTTGGATAGTATACAAGTAATTGGTGAAATTATAGCATGTTTGATTTAGACGCCATCATAGATTCAGATTTATAGTTGATATGGTTACATTACATTTACACATGTTGTGCATCATACCCCCAAAATTATATTATTAAGTGTGATGTGGTTGGCAACTTTGAAACTGAATCAAAGGGTGGACAATACAGTGAGAACATGGAGCCTCCAATTCTGTTGATGGTGCATTTTGTTCTAAAATATTTGGACATGATACACTTTTCAAGATTTTTTTACTTCTTCTGGACTGTGATATGGAAACATGTAAGGGTATCATAGTTAAAGGTGGCTCATTGGCTTTTCTATTACCTTCCAGCAAAGCAACTCAACAGCATGATTTTTTTAGGAGTTCTAATGGATTTCTCAGATGTGTCTTTAATCTAAACATAGTTAACCAAGTATATACTTATTTGAGTGTGTAGCAAACATGGCTTACATTTAGTAGGAAGAAAATCAAGATATACTATTTCTCCAGCACTAAAAGCAACTTTCAAAGGTGATAATTATACTGTTGGTGTTGACCTTCTTACTTGTAAAAGGCCAGTTGAAATCACCATATACAAGGATGATTCCATTTTTGCATTGCAGATTAATTTAGTAAAAAAAATAGTGGATAGTTGATTAGCTAGCATAATGAATGACCGGGTTGATAATGAATGAACTTATAGTTTATGAGATGGTCGATAGTGAATAAATTAACCCGATTGAAGTTATCTTTTGTAAAAGAATAATAGATAATTGATAAATTAGCTTATAACACACAAATTAGATTAATCTGTTGAATTCATAGTGTTCAGTAAATTAATAGTCGAATTCCCTTTTAAATATGAAAAATCATTGAAACAAATATATTTAATTGGATTTTAACTTTTAATCAAAATTGTAGGAACAAAAAATGACAAATACTAAACGATTTTCTTAAACATTTATGACATAAATTTATAAACTATAAGTTAAAAGTATACAGAGCCTTGGTTGTTTCAGTTGTATATTTCAAAATATACAAAATTCTTTCCTATCTCTTTTGTGAATAAAGATGGTCAATTTATCCCATATTAAGCGTTTTATACATATTTTCATACAAGAATTAATATGTATTAATTTTAGTATAAAGCAAGAAAATACTAACAAGTGTATTTAGGATAAATGTAAGATACTAAGAATGGTAGCTTTGTAAGATTAAATTCAGTACTAATCATGAAAAATAAATTCAGTCCTTCATAATTCATCCTACATTTACAAGTGATCTGAAGTTATCAAAATAGATTGTCGTAGCCTTTAATGTAAGGCAACAATAGTGATGGTAAGAGATGAGAAGGGTGTACCTGCAAAGTATTTTAATGCCAAAGTAAGTTTTTGGGCGAAAGAGCAAATACAAGTGTTTAGATATGAGTTAGAATGATTAGAATACCCGACCCTCTCAAGAGAGAGGGTACTTATGAGATTCCACCAGCGCGGGGCCAAGGTCGAAATATCTGGTCGACCAATTGGAGACTGCCAGGTGGAGGCGGAAGATCTAGCACGTGATCTTTGACCTGGTCCAACTGTTCTCGTGAATTTCGAGGGGTTGGTCGCGTGAACTGTCACGCGCGTGAGGGGATGTCCCCAACAAATATATTCTCCAACGACTATAATGTGCCCAACGGCTATGTTGTGCCCAACTGTCATATTGTCTTAATTTTCTTATTGGATCTTGCCTAAAGCTGAACTAGATTGGGTCTTGCCCAACAGTGGGTCATGTGGCAATCCAGTCCAGTCTAGAACAAGATCCCTCCAAGTCGTTGCTATGAGGTGAGGAGTAATGACTCGAGTTAGCCTGGTTGGTCGACCGATGGGCAAGGAACGTGTCGCGGGGAGGCCTTGTGAGATCATCGTTATTGAGAACTAAAACTTTCGGGGACGTACCCGTCAGTAGCATACGGTTAATATGGCCGACTGTTGATTGCTCGTGGTCTCCCGTGGAATGCGAGGAAGTGGTCGGATGTGGAAGGTGCGTTTTTGCGTCGACCAGACTTACGCTTAAGATGCAGAAAATATCATGTCGATGAGATTCCTGCTCGGATGATATCCTGTGACTTGTCGAGGAAGATGTGACAGCGTGGAGCTGAAGGGACTTGTTCTGAGGAGTGTGAAGGGTCAGAGCGCTAGCTGTGCCAACAATTAGGGAGAAGGTGACATTATGCCATCGGAAAACCATAGACACGCTTATATAATCAAATAACTAACGGACAGAACCTATTATTTTCAAATGCAACTAGTTCTTCTAAGGTATTTATTAATACAATCCATTCGAGATACTTAATTGTTTGGATCTAAGGTAAATTATTACTGTAGAATTTAAACTGCATTTCATATATTTAATTTGGATATATTTAATTTGGATATGTTGAGTTTGGTGTTCAATTTTCTTGTCAGACCATAACTAATGCTGTTTGAGCATTACTATGACACATTCAATAATTCAATTCCGATTTTAAATATGGATATGAAGATTTTGAACATAATGAGCATTAGTTTTCTTTTTAAATTAGGATTCAAACGTGGGTATCTTATATCACAAGAGTGGTATAGATGCAAACTCTATAATTTTATTATTTTTAAAACCCAATTTTTTTTTGCTGTTAACAGAAACTGGAATAGCAGCGATTCTATGGTGGGTTGAAATTTTGTATTCTCTAGCGCGTAAAAGAGAGGGAAAGAATGAATGAAAAAGAGTGGGTGGATCACTTCCTCACAGTTCGCTGAAATTTCCGGGCAGTTGTGTTCCGTGCTTATTTCTTCTAATATTACAAGGACAACGCTGCAGTTTACTTTTTTTTTTTTCATCTTTTTATTTTTATTTGATGGAGTTGCTCGGACCTAAAAATATATTGGGATTATCATTTCTACTTTTACCATTACCCCCTCCTAAAGAGTTATTGGGATTACCATTTTTCAATTTGTCTTCGTCTATAAACTTAAAACTCTAAAAGAAAATTAAAAAATAAATAAATAAACTTAAAACTCTAAAAGAAAATTAAAAAATAAATAAATAAAATAATTATTTCCAAAGATACTTAGTGAAGAAGTAAGAGAATAGAGAAAAATTTTATAATTAATTCTTTTATTATTTCTTCTAATATAAAATTTTTATTTATGAATTTTTTAACATATATATTAAGAGCACACGTTAGTATTATCTTTAATATTAAAAGTTTTATAATTTATTTTTTAATAATATCAATAATATAAACAATACTTTTATGATAATTATTTTTAAATAATAATAAATTAATAATAAAGTAAATAATAATTAATCAGGGAACAATTTTTTACAAAAGGATATAAGTTTTAGAAAGAAACTATATTTTTTTATTTTATTTTGAATAATAATATTAGTTTTAAAAAAAACCACTTTATTTATTCTATTTATTTATTTTAACGTGTGAAAAATATATTTATATATCTTAAAATGGAGTAGAAGTATAATTATTTGATGGATTACAAATAAAACTACGCAATTAAAGAGTGAATATAAAATATTAATTTTAAAAAGTGATATAAGGATGGTTCATGTTAAGGAGAAAAGTGATACGAAAGTAGAGTTTTATTCTTACACCAAATATAATATTAATACTAATGATACTATCATTGACAGTTTTAGAAAAAAATAAAATCACAAATATATTCACTAATGCAAGTAAAAAATAAAAGACAAAGATCTCAACATATCTTTTTAAGAAATAATAATAATTTAAGAATTAAAAAGAAATGGTTAATTAAAGAAACAAGTTTTCAATAGCATAATGTTAGTTTTAAGGAGAAAATATGACATTTTAAGAGGAAGATACAATATTTTTGCATTCCTAAAATATATAATAGATAATGAAGTTTAAAATGTGTGTAGGGATGGCAAACAAACCCGGGCCCGCCCACACCCGCCCGGGCCCGCCCCGAAATTAACGGGGGAAATCCGATTTAATTGGGTGCGGGTGCGGGTGCGGGTGAAACCCGGTTCTTAACTACGGGTGCGGGTGCGGGTGCGGGTAGACACTAAGACCCGCCCGCCCCCGCCCCCGCCCCCGCCCCGCCCCAAATAATATATTTTATTTTGATTTTCTTATTTTATTTATTTTAATATTTATTTATTAGTTATACTTTTAATTAAGTTATTAATATTCTTATTGCAATTAAAATAATAAAATTAATCAAGTTAATATTCATTTATTAATTAAAATTTTAATTAAATAATTAATTAATTTATTAAAATAATCAATTTTTTAATTAAATTACTAATTTTTATTATAATTAAAAATATAATAATTTTTTGCGGGTGGGGGCGGGGCGGGTGCGGGTGCACCCGTTTTCTACTGGGGGCGGGTCTGGGTGGTAAATTT